GCAGAGTCAGCATCACTTCATTGTTAACGGCCAAGTGCTACTTCACCACGAAGCCCCCAAAAACGCCCAAATGGCTTTAAGTTCTACCCTGTCTAAACTTCATCATTCATGTGTGTTCAACTCCTGGCACAATACCGTGGATGCTATTAATAGACAAATTCACTTCACGCAGGCACAAATACACACATACACACAGCTGGCAGAATGGGCTCCACTTAGCACTGGTATTTGTTTTATGTTGGGTTGGTGTGTAGAACCCACAGAGCCCTCAGAACACATAGAGAAAAAGAACAGTTCTCGGTTGCCTCAGTGGTATTTCATGCTGCTAATTTTACAGGCATGGCATCTAGGCCTGGATATTTCTGCATCTGTTGAGCAAATGTTTATAATGCAACACTTGTAATGCTGGCAGTTGTCGCACTACCTCAACGTCATACTAATTTTACTGCTGTGGTTAGCCTGCTGTAAATACATACCGTTTGAATCCATTGTTCCTCCCTTGCTTTTGAAGAATCTGTCCGACTCAGCATCTGTCCTGCAGGACTTTTAAACCATTCCTCATCGAGGTGGAGCAACAATGTAACGCCTGTCGAGATTTATTTCAGTCATCTGGCTAAATTAAAAAAAGCTGTTGAGGGGACACATATAGTACAGTAGATCAAACTGTAAAAGTAATTGTAACTAAATATCATGGAAGCATCTCTCAAAATCAAAATCATGTATCAAAATCAGTTTGGCCCAGATGAACACCCTAAACTATTTTTTAACCAGTCTTGTGGGTTGATTACAACTTGGTTTAACAATTAATCTTCAAAAGCCATGTCCAAATGCCTATCCCAGAATTCTTTGCATGCTGGTTACTGGATGCTCTGTAGCACATCTTCTTTAGGAGGGAGATGCACTTTAAATCTACTCGTCTTCCATCCAACGACAGCCACTCAGTCACTGGCCACGTCCTTTGAAGGAGGTGGACACAGCTAAAATGTCTGCTCCAACGCCAGACAGTAGAATCAAGCTGGAGGCTGGTGAACTTCACAGCCACATACCAGAACACATCTTGAGATGTTGAAATTACTGTTTGAATCCAATATTTTGCTCAGGGATACTCTTCCAACAATAACACTCTGCACCCACAGCACATGTGTTAATAGGTACAGTTTTTAAAGTCAATATGGTATCATTAACTTCAATGAAGCATGACCTCCTAACAGTGAGGCACTTGTATTTTCCTTTTATTCTGGGTGTTTTGTTTAAGGTTGCCTTCAAAATGATTCATTGTTACATTAATATTATTATATTATGCCTTCACATTTGGAATATCTAACGCAAAATACCTGATAGAGCTTTTCTGGGGTCTAGCCCTTCTTACCTTTCTGGCCCAGTCTGACTGTGTATTTCTATTTAGCACCTGAAGTCGAAGGTAGCTGAGTTTCTTGGCAGCTGCCATCGTGCAGCTGCACTCGGGTTAGTATTACTGTAGCTGCTGAGTGGATTATAAGAGTTTCCTTGGAAAAATGTTTGTAAATCCTCTGGAATATGTAAGCGCCAAAGCAGCATGTTTATGTAATGAACTAAACAGTAGTGTTTCTGCAGGACTGACGTATTGCAGTTGGAGAATGTGTGTCTTTGGTGGTGCTGCTGTATGACGTTGTGCATTATACATACTGAGGGTAATATAACACACATGGTTAAGTTAATATTCTTAAGAGAACAACAGTCTTTGGTTCCATTTCTGTAATATGTTGTATGTTGTCATATATAAAAAAAATAATAATAATCTGATAAATATGCACTGAGGTGGGCTCAGTTTGCTGCTTAGAATAGTTTTATTAACATTTAAATATTTAATCAGCTCTAGGGTGAGTAGTACTAGCATTTTGGAATCGTTACCTGTCTAATAATAGAATACACTCCTTTTATTATTCAGAACAACAATATCAATTTATCACTTTATGAAATCAGTGAGGTCTGACCATGAGGATCAACCCAGCCCAATGTTGTAACAAGTTATTGAACATTTAAGGTTAAGTATTCTGTATAGGAATTGTTATAGGGCACAATGTATTTTACAATGTGAGGTAAATATAAAACTGATGTACGTCTCAAGCTAATCTGCCAAAGTCAAAGTCCAAACTTTCCTGCGATAAGAGTTACAGACTGACACTCCCCTCTTCACTGATATTGTACAAAATATATTGTAAACCATTGTTAAAGTTGGTAAATCAGACTGTAGTCAGGAGTCAAGAGCTACGACAACAAATATTCTTGATTAAGAGTTGTTCACCCAACATAGTTAAATTACTGCACTTATTTTATTCTAGGTGTGCCAATTGCTACAATGTCAGGATGACTTATTTTATTCTTCAGTATATCTGTTTTTGTAAAACCTGAATGGAATAATAAATAGACCAAAAGACCACAGGGGGAGACTCCAATGTGGGAGACACCAGTCTCACTGCAATCTAAAGATCATTTCACTTCACTGACTTGTAATAAAACAAAGATCCACTAAGAGGCTATAAGGAAACTGAACCCTCATCTGTTTCAAAAGCACAGAGGCTTTAGCTGAGACAAAAGCCTTTGTCAGGATCACAGTGCTCACTCTGCAGCCTGTAGAGACATCAGACTGGTTTATGACAGACAGGTCAGCAGGGAGTAGCGAGCTGAAAACATACTGCGCAGCACAAACACAAACACACACACATGCACACATTCACTATAGCTTTAATTGTGCACATGCCTATCTGCATGAAAGTGCTTAGAGCACTGAAAGCAAGTGTGCATTGTGTGTAAAAATGCAGGCAAACTTGGAGACAACACACACACACACACACACACACACACACACACACACACACACACACACACACAATACTGCAGTGAACCCCCTAATGTGAGACCCATGACCTCTCTGTATGGAGACCCTACCCTTAGTGGGTTTGTGTCGGTGTGTGCGTGAGTGTGTGTATGTCAGGGTTGCCAGGCACAGCACTGCACCTGTCATTGGAATGAAGAGGGGAAAAGGTGAGCACACACACACACACACACACACACACACAGTGTAATTGTACTACTTAACTGGCTGATGTGGTAAACAAACATTTTGGAGTTTGGTCCATGAAAAGCCCACTCTGCGATTGGTGTACAGCTCTGCTCACATGGTCTGCAAAGCCTGATCATTTAGTATAAAGTTGGGCCAACCCAATGTTTATATATAAATGAATTATACTTCTCCTATTCCTAGTGTTAATGTACTGAGCATATGAGTTTACAGTAGAGGAGCGGCTTGTGCTGCAGGAGTTGTTGACAAATTGAATGGATGCTTTGATACTCTTTTTCCTCGTGAAAATGTGTCATCAAAGGGATACATTGTAGCTGACTGAATTAGACTGAGCTACAGCAAGTTTTCTTTTCTTTTTCTTTCTTTCTTTCTTTCTTTTTTAACATTTACAGCCACCTAGCAAATCTACAGGGGTAAGTGTTTGATATGTTCAAAATCTTTTGGCTAAAATATAACTATAAGTCCAACCACATGTGAAACACTGCTAAACTTTAAGATCCTCACCCTGGCACTTAAATGACTTTTCTAAATCTGGTTTTCATACATTCATGTTGTCAGGGGCGGGCTGTCATGAATAGCTGACCCATACTTCAACTTTGATGAGTGCAGAGGATGATGTAAACCCTCATATGTTATAAAAGTATTCCAATTACTGTATTTACAGTATCTTATCAGCATACATGCTGTCCACACCAGCATACATTCATAATCGGGAAATCTTTCCCTCTTTTTCTCTCTGTTTGTGTTTGTAGTGATTTTTATCCAAACTGCTCTGTTATCAAAATACTCTTATTTCAGAGCTGGTTTTTAAGTTATGAGTCTGTCAGAGTAAGTGTCAAGTCTCGCCTCTAGTCAAGTCACGTCTCACAGCAGTTACGCCTCAAGTCTCAAGCCTCATTTCTGTGACTTGAGGCCTCTGTACACTGTGCAACAACAGGGATATTGGCTTGTCTTATGACACACTGATGGGTCCAATAAAATCTTGGTTGCAATCTATGTAAGCCTGTATCAGTTTTGAGGCGTGTCAGATGTGCAAATAAAGGTGAGTCAGAAGATGATGATGTAGATTTAAAAAAATACAACCAGAGCTTCCGTGGACATGAAGTAACATGCTTCATGTACGTCATTATTTATTCATTAAGTCAGTTTCTATTGCATTTCATCACCAAGAGTAAAAACCTTTTGAGAAATGTCAACTTTTCTTTGAACGTCTGGCGTTTCCACACACTTTTTTGGTAGCAAATTAAAAATGTGCATAAAAACATTTGGATGGAAGTGCATTTACAAGCTGGTCTTATTTGATTGCTGTCCTGTTTTTCAAAAAATCAGCAAAATTGAATACAAACTTTAGGCATATGTTTCTTTTTATTACAAAATACGGCATAATAGGATCCTATCACGCCACATTTTGATTGGTTGGTTTGTGGATGTGGCTCATAGCGGCAATCACACAGTGACAGGTCGGTTCTCTCTTCTAGCACAGAACTTTGAGGTTGCCAACAGTATCTCTGGATTGATTACAATTGTCTCTTACAACTGTCAAGTTTGAGCTGGGACAGCCCAAAGTCACACAAGCCTTTTAAGACTAACCGGAGTCCAAGTCACAAGTGTGTATTGTGGAGGGATTCTCTGCCGCTGTATTTAGTCTCAGTAGACGATAATTAAAGCCACTGATCACAATGATGGACTGTAAAGACCAATGAAAATATAGAGTAGCACACACACGCACACACACACACACACACACACACACACACACACACACACACACACACACACACACACACACACACACACACCAAGAACAACACAGTGCATGTCCCTGCCCCTTTCTACTCCCCTCCTCTCACCTCCCACCTTTCCCTTCTCTCTGCAAGCCCTCCCTCTCTCTCTTTCCCTCTCTTTCTCTCCCCCCTCTTGAATTAAGTCCATTATTCCTGCCTGCTCTCCCTCTGAGCACTTCCACTCCGCTCAGCTCCTGTGAAAACTCTGTGTGTGTGAACTCCTCGCGTGTGTGTGTTAAGAAGAGTTTTATGTGTGTGCATTGGGTTGTGTGTTTTTCTAAGTGGAGCTGGAGTGCAGCCGTTCATCAGTGGAGCTGACTGCAGACAGGGGAATACTCAGATCTCACTGCGCTGCTTTTTAACTCACACACCGGCTGCTTTTTGGACTCTTTTAAGACTCACTGGACTTTTTTTACACCAAGTGGGACTCTGCTGCTGCTCTCTTTCTGCCCTCCAGGCACCATTCCCATCACTGGAATTACTCAAGACTTTTTTCACAGCTTTCTGAAAATATTTTTTACAGGAATTTCTACCTGCCTCGTTCTTAATTTTTATTTATCCCACACTTTATGGACTTTCAAGATTCAACATCAGCTGTTTCCACCTGCCTCCAGAATAACTTTTCTATGTATTCTCATTGAATTTAGACATGCACAAGCCTGAGAATGAGTGCAAGCACATAACGAGAGCTCAGTGAGTGTGTGTAGGTGTGTATACAGCACTCTCTATACTGTGAGCATATAATCAAGAGGGCTTATCTCATATACAGACATTTGTTTTGTTTTTTATTGCAATAGAAAGATCATGAGCAGTCAAACAGAAAAAATCAGTACAGTAACTATGGAAACAGTCAGTGCTGTCAGTGGCATGTTGGGCTCAGGTGGACACTGATCCCGACTCGGAATGTTCTGAACTCTTTTGGAATTTGGTTCCCCTGGAAACGGATGGACAGGTGAGTTCATGTTGACCGCGGTCCAGTCAGGAGCATTTAGGGTCACAGCTCACATCCCTGAAAGGTTTTCATTTTAAATTACAATCAGGATAATGATGTGGCCCAAAAATATTTTGGGGTTTCCCTACAATAGTATACTATAATCAGTTTTGTGGTGTGCACTTAAATAACATACTTGTGTCACTGTGTACTCCAAAAATGATTCTGATCTGGTCGGAAAAATCTTTCAAAACTTTCAATCACAAAGTAACTTTGGTTGGCATACTGCACAGAGAGGAAATTATGACCAAATAATAACTCCTGTTCAGCCATAAAGTTCATGTTTTACTCAGCCTGCTGTGTTTGTGACCTGATCCCCCTATTCCTGAGCCATTACAAACCCAGATATTAAATTTACAAGTCATGCTGATGACATGTGGGCTTCTTCTTCAGAGAGTTAGGTTGAATTCTACTCTGTTGTTTCATTCACAAGAGCAGAGTAAGTTGTCTTCCCTCAGAGAGCTGTTTGGAGCAGCTCCAGTCAGGAGACCAGAGGCATGCTCTGTAAGGTCCTGACTTACTGCTGCTCCTGGGTTTAACACGGCCAAATGGCTGGCTACCAGCTACCAGCAGGCTGCCCTCGCCTTAGTGGCTCCTTCACTGTCTCCTTTTTCAGAGGTTGTTAGACCAGACCAGGGGTTTAAGCCTCCTTATGACTATAGCAAAGCAGTTCTTCCGTTATAATATTAGTCCAGCCAACGCTCCCTACTCTCGCTGTGTAGGCTAAACTGATAGATTAACCTAAAGATTAAAAAGATATCTATAATCATGAATAAAACAACTCCGACTTGGCACAGTGCACAACTTTTGCATTTTGGACACCGGTCTTTGACTAGAGAGAATAATTTAGCCAAACTGAACAAATACTAGCCATGGGTTCGCAGGCTGGGAAACTTTCCATTCATGATGCTGGGCCAGATGGCTCGGTACCAGCGACCAGCAGAGCGCTGTAGCCTCCTTGGCTCCTTCATTCACTCTGTGTCTTTCAGAACAGCAAGGCTTTCCAGCCCCGGATCGTCTCGCTTTCTCTGTCTCACTTTGTTTTTTCAGCTTAAATCCCATAAAGACTGGTAGTCACTTTTGGCTTACAGCTGCTTTACTTTGCCAGTCGAGTGTATGTGTGAGTGTGTGTGAAACTTCCATTTACTCCTGTAACCAGCTTTGTCCCGAGACCTTCCACTGAAAACAAGACTGTACCGCTAAGCCACATTGGGTAGAGAGCCTGCTTATAAATTCTTTTCCGAACCTTCATATGACTGAGCTTTTTACTTTTTGCATGTCTGTAAATCCCCGTAGCTCTTATTTTCTAAATGAATAACATTTATGGGTCATTTATATCACACAGAACAGTATAATACTTTCCTTTTAGTTTGAACTGAATTCTTTCTCATCATTGGTGGTCCGCCTTATCAATGTTTGTTTCTTTTTCTAGTTTTCAGGGGAAATGAGGCGCTGCTCAGCCCTCTGTTCTGCAAAAGCAAAAAGATTTCATGCTTCAGACCAATAACCAATCACAGCTGTACCCATTGTAAAAGAAATATTTATTACATGCTTGCTGCATTCTGTTTCTGCCTCTAGAAATTGTTTGCAAAAGTCTGCAGAGTGTTGACATGCGGCTACACTGCCCTGCATCACCTGCTCTTCCTCTCTTGTTTATCTCTGCAAATTTAAGGCTTTCTGCTTTCATGTGTTTTTTTTTCATGGAAATGAAGCAATCAGACCCGCAAGCCTAGCAGATTTTTATCTGAGCTGAATCAAAACAGCAACTTTCCCAACTTTTTGCATCGTTGCTGCACTTGCTGCACTTGTGATGAGGAAACTGACTCACATTCAGTCCCTGGATGCTTTCCCAGACCTTAACCATCACAATTACATGAACACCAACCCTTTCTCTAAACCAGTTGTTATTTCCTTCCTTAACACTAACATAAATGGTTAACCTTGTGGGGATCAAACCAAAAATTGTCCCCAGATGGGAGGTTAGCCTTGACAGTGTGATGAATACACAGTGTGCACGCACACACCATTAGGCCGTAGCATTCTGTTATACTGCATATTATGAGCACTTGTTATGGTACGCATATCAAATTTATTGCAGAAGAAATGTATGAACTTGATTCAAATATAGCAGTAAATTGCCAGAATGAGAACAGTTGGGGGCAAGAAACATGTGCTTGCAGTTCCAATGCATCTCAGATGTGTTTTATTAGCATTGAAATTACACAGTATCAATAAGAATGCAGCAGTTCAGTAACTCTTTGTCATGTGGTTACATAGATTTAAAACACTTTACACTAAATGTTATCACTTAAACCCACCTTGACCAGCCCTCCTCTTCTCTCTCTCTCTCTCTCTCTCCTTGGTCCAATCTGACACACCCTTTGCATCCATCCTGCCACTCCCTCCTGCTCCTCCTCTTCATCAATTTCCCTTCCCCTTAGAAATGCAGAAGGCAAGTGAATACCTTTCTCACTTACTTTTTTTTTGTCTGTTTCACACAAATATACCATCCAAGATACCCCTAAGAATTTCGATCAGTGAGGATCTGTATAATAAACTAGATTTTCATATTTTTTGCTTAATCTTCCACCCTCTCTCCCCCCCATCAGACAGACTGGTGCTAAAGCCACCAGTAACCTGCTGTTTCAGTCATTTTGCTCTGTAAAGCTGAGAGCCCTCCCTCCCCCCTAATCCTTCCTCTTTTTCCCTCCATCCATCCCTCTCTCCTTTCATTTCTCCGTCGCAGGGAGGCTTAGACTTGTTGGTCACAGGCCAGGAGAACTCTTTTCTCCCTGCAGGCGAAACAATTGGCTCTTTTCTCTCCCCCACCTCTCGCCTCGCTCATTTTCTTCTCCCTCCCTCCCTCCCTCCCTCCCTCCCTCCCTCGCATTCTCTTTTTCTGTGGGACAGGACTGGTGTAATGTCTGTATATATTTTGCTTTGTCCCTCCACATCCTCTTCTTCACATCATTGTCCCTCATTTCACTTCTTCTTACAATCTCAACCTCCAGTTTTCCCTTTCTTTTATTCTCCTTACATACTTCTCTCTTTCTCTCCCTGCCCTTTTCAGATTCTTAATGATCCTTTCCTCTCTCCTTCATTTACCTTTTCTCACTGCTCCATCCATAGTTCTTCCTCCAACTTTTTCCCCACATCACACTTTCTTCCTCCACCTCCTGTTCTTCTGCCCCACCTTTTTCTCACCTATACCTCATTATCTCTTTGCCTTCCCCTCTCCTCCTTCTTTTGGGTTTATTCCTATCACACATTGCCACCTTCTGAATACCTACTTCTCTCCATTCTTTCTTTCTTTTTTCTCATCTCATTTAACCTTTTTTGCTTCCTCCTGTTTCTCCCAGTTTCCTTCCTTCCATTCCTCCTTGCCATCCATCTGTGCATCCTTTCCTTTTTCTTTTTCTTTCTTTCTTTCTTTCTTTCTTTCTTTCTTTCTTTCTTTCTTTCTTTCTTTCTAATAGCTTTATTTTTCAACCCTTTTCTGACTCTCCTTTCGTATCTCGCTCTGCCGCTTCCTCTCTATTAGACGCCCAGTGTCTCTTTTTACTTCTCCTCTTCTCTAATCTGTGGTAGTGGAGGGCTACAGGTTTAAACTGCTGATATCCATTCATTCATTATTGTGTGCTGTACTGTAGGGCTGCACTCTAACCCCACTCTGAAAAACCTGTCTCACCCTGGAGGCGGGTGGCTTTGTCTGCCCATGTCTATTTAGGCTGGTTTTTGACAGGGCAGCTTGCCCCCTCCAACCCCCCTCTAAAGAATCTCTCTCTGTCTTTATTTTTAATCCACTCCCTCTTGGCATGCCGCTGCTCCATGTCTATTGAAGCTTAACTGAATGCAAGTGTCAGCGGGCCCACTGGCTTTTTTATTAAGATGCATTATGGAGCATGCAAGGAGTTTGTGTATTTGTGAGTGTGTGTGTGCACATTTGTGTGTTTCCAGACCTAAGTGCTGAGAAGTGGGAGCTTGTAGATGACTATACATGCTTCATATAAGTAAGCGAGTGTGTGTGTGTGTGTGTGTGTGTGTGTGTGTGTGTGTGTGTGTGTGTGTGTGTGTGTGTGTGTGTGTGTGGCTCAGGGCTCTGTGATGAGACAAGGATGTGCGAGGAACAATGATGCTCTCTACGACTCATGATGGCAGATTTGCAATACACACACACAGCTCGGGGAGACTCAGAGGAACAATAGGACCGGCCGTTCCTTTTATAGCAGCCGACAGGACTGTAGAGGCTTCAGCACTGCTCATGTCACTCCTAGGGACTGTGACGTGAACTGTGTGCGTGCGTGCATGTGTGTGTGTTTCTGTTTGTGTGTCACAGAGCTGCAGCTGACGAGAGCACTGACGTCTTTCTCCTTTAAACACTGCAGCGTCTTTGCAGCTCTGTGCAGAACCTTGACCACACACACTGTCTTTCACTCTGCCTCATACACACAAGCAAACACACAATTTATTAATGAATTTTACATAAATAATGTGTTTTCTGCTTCACACCTGAGCTTAACAGACAAGAGTTGTAAAAGTATCGCAGATGATTCATTCTCTCTGTGCGCTTCTGAAAGTGAGTTGTGGCAGAGGATGGCAGATCGTGTGCTGTCCAAAGCTTGCATGTGTGGTTTTGTTCATTCACAAGTGTGCATCAGTGGTTTTGTGTGTGTGTGTGTGTGTGTGTGTGTGTGTGTGTTTACATACTGCAGGGTATGTGGGAGTTTATGTTCCTGTTCAGCTCTGTCCTGTTGTGTTGTGGCCTGGGAGCCGTGAGCTTATGAGAGCTCTCCTGTCTCCACGCCTCAATAGCTCCATTATTCATAAAACTCTGTGCCAACAGCCTGGACTGTTCCGTGTGTATGTGTGTGTAGAACTTGTGTATATATACTCATCTTTGTGTATATGTCTGTTTAAATGTGATCACTGGCGCTTTCAGCTGTACTTGCGCCAGGAATTTGGAAATTAATATAAAGATGTCCCAGCTTAAAGCAAATGAGGATAATTTTGGGGGTATATTTAAAAATGTAGCATGCTTAAAAGATAGTTGAGATGATGTTAGTGAGCCAGTTTCAAAACCAAACTTCACTCAGTTATCCATTGTCAGCAGAACTGGAGGAGTCTGTTAAACTTCAAGTCACGTCATCGATCATCAATTTAAAGCACCAGTGTGTAAGATCAAGTGGCATCTGGCAGTAAAGTTTCAGATTGCAACTAACTAAATATTGCTCGCCTTCCAAGTGTGTAAGAAAACCCAAAAGGCCATATCTAGAGCATTCTGGGTTACTGTAGAAACATAGTGGTTCACCCTGGATCTTTAAGTCAAGAAATCCTCAGAGTTCATCCATCAAAAATCTGAGTTCCTCCGTTAACATTAACATTAACATTTACCACCACTGTACCACCACTTGTAGTTACTCTCATAAGACAGGTGGAACCTTATATTCAAGTTTTCTCTAAGCCCACCACATCACTAGCAGAGTTGGAATAATAGCAGCAGAGTGTTGGCGCACTGTCATCACCAGAAGCTGAAATGCAATTTGGGTTTAACCCATATTTATGGCTGATTTGGAGAAGTTTAGGCGTGCATATTTGGGCCAATCTGGACTGAGAATCAGCTCCAGTAGCAATGCTTTGGCTAACTTTGGGAAAGTGCAAGTGTTCCAGGTTTAAGCTGCTGTTGGGCCAATTTTGTCCACATGGGGTTTTTAAAGCTTCTTAAAAGCGTTTTTCTTATTATAAATAAATATAAAGAAAGATAGTAACAGGTGTTTTATGTCAGATATGGCCCCAGTCACTTACAGACAGATCCGATCTGCAGTACACAGCAGAGTTAAGCCTCATATTGGCCAAGCAGCTGATTACACTCCAAGACTCGAAAGAGGTCTTTTACAGAGAGGAACTCTGTAAAAAGATGAAGAACAGTGATAGAGGAGGGGGGAGAAGAAGCAAAGATTGAAAGTGAAAGGGGGAAAAGCGGACTGTCTGCCTGTCATTGACTGAGTGCCAAGTGTGAGGTGTAAAATAATAAAGGAGACTGGTTCCACTGAAAGGCTTTATTGTTACAGCTGACCACAGAGTCCAAAGTACTGAAAGAGAGGTGTGTGTGTGTGTGTGTGTGTGTCCCTTGAACACTTTTTTTACTACACAACATTTATATACAAGTAAGTTTACAAAGCAGTGACTTCATTCCTGCTCCTGCTGTGGTAGAGCTGTAGTTTACAACAACACACTCACAGCCAAGGCACCAAGTTATTGGGGATTTTTCCGAAACAATAACAAAGCTGTCATTTTAAATCTGACTCTAGTTCTTAAATAACTTTGTAGAGACTGGTTTTCTATACTCCCTGACCATTCTCAATGGACAGCAAGTCCCCATCCAGATTATAAAAGCCATGAAAACAAGATAATTATATTATATTGGGATATCTACTACTGTGTAATTCAATATTGACACCAAATCTCATTACAAAAACAAAGAAGTTTTTGCTCTGTGTTGCTAGTCTCACTCCCTAGTGACTTTCTGTTGAGCAACGATGCACTCATCCATTCATACATCCATCCACATCACTGTTGGCTCATTAGTCCTCAGTGATGAAGGGATCTCTTCTGGTGACACCGTCTGCCAGTGTGGAGGGAGCGGGACAGAGAGAGAAAGAGAGAGGGGGAAGCCACTTTGTGTTGGCAGACAGGACATGGCGATATTGTGCTTGGCTTGGCATTGGGCACGGCATATCTCTATTACACACACACAGTCTTCATCACCGTGGTCACACACCGTGTGTGTATTTTGGATACTGAGACTTTCTGTAATGTGAAGAGATTATAGTGTTGTTGCCATAATGGAGGCTGGCATTAACACAGCCTGGCAGGGGCATCAATCAGACTCTCACTAAATATACCTCAGACGCCACTGTGTGTGTGTGTGTGTGTGTGTGTGTGTGTGTGTGTGCGTGCAGGGGTATCCCTGGCACATGCATGCATATGCTGGTCATGTCCATTTCTAAATTCTCTTCCTTTCTGTTTCTATTTTTAGGTCTCTATGCCCATGTGTGACGTTTTTGTGCCGTCTTGGATGTGAGAGGTGAACTTGGTCGTCCTTCACGGGAGGAGCAGTGGATCTGCCAAGACAACTCTTCAGAACCAAGGAGGACATTATAAAGAGTACACTGATAATTAAGAACTTGAAAGGAAGACTGGAAAAGTCTGAAGCTCTGCTAAAGCAAACAACAAGAGGGAAGATCTGTGTTGGGTTTCCAAACCAGTCCAAAGGCAGGTGGACTATATATATATATCTATATATATATTGGTAGAATATATGCATATAGGGCATTACTGCAAAGTAGAATCTAATCCATAATCCACTTAAATAACCACAATCAATCAATTTCCAACTCAGATTTTCTACAGCAACCTTTGAAAGGAAGAAGTTTTCCAAAATGATGACCATGATGATGATGATGGCGGCCATGATGGTCACGTGCAGCTCTCTATTCCTGCTGGGTCTGGCTGCCGCCCATGCTTCCTCTGGCACCATGACCCGCACTTCCTCTTCATCTACATCTTCCTCCTCTTCCTCCTCCTCAGCCTCCTCCTCACCACGCATGAAGCTCTCATACAAAGGTAACCAAACCAAAGCTTTGAGGCAGAAAGTCATTTCTGTGGTGGTTTGTTCATGTGGGTGTACATGTGTGAGTCTTTGCCTCTTCCAATGCACATAAAATACTTTATGCTGTTTACAGTGGGTGTACACACACACACTTTCTCTTTTTCATGTGAGGTTCTGCCATATCCTTTTTAAAGTAAACAGTCCTGAACAGTAGCCAGCCGTAATTTGTGGCTGCTCTGATTCACAGCCATACTCATACACCAACAGATGCACACACACACACACACACACACACACACACATACGGCTTAAACACACACTGGCAGGGTTTTGTGTTTCATCTTGAGCATTGTAAGTTAAAATAAGGCTGTTCAATGCCCAACATAACCACATAAACCAGGGATGTGTTCCATCATTGAAAGCCAGCAATTACAGCTTGAACTAACTCACAAGGACGTGAGGTTCGCTGAAGGCCGTCTGCCCAGCTGCGATACTATGCGCTCCCTTTAATTTTGCTGAAGGTAACATGTAGCATACAGTAAAGGAGAGGACTGTGTCAGCATATTTTACTTTTAGTTGACACATGAAGGACTAAAAGAGACCCTGATGACCTCATGCATTACTGAAATGACTTTAAATTGTATTTAGCCTGCAGGTAAGTGGAACACAACAAACAGAAGCAGTCTGTCTGGCTGATGAACGGGTTTCCTGTAGGGCAATTTCTAATGTCTAATTCGTCTTTTATAATAAGCTAAGTAATAAGAAGGATAATGAGCAAGTAGGTGGTCATTAAAATAACTCTGATGTGGCAATTCAAGTCCCTGAGGAACTGTTGTTAGCTACCCTAGCAGTGCAGCTTAAGGGATGACATTGTGAGTGGGTCAGTCAGTTGGTATGTCTGTCTGTCTGTCTGTCTGGTTAGCATGACGACATGCTAATTTTAGGATTTGAACTAACATGATAAACATAACATTATCTCATTAATATATTAAATGTTACATATTAAACATTAGTGCAGGATCATGCTACCATATGGTATGTTGCACACTTAACGTTAGCCTGTTAGATCTGTGCCTACTAACTTGCTTAATAGTACATGTAACATGATAAACTGCTAACTAATGAATATGTTAACATGCTAATGAATCACAATTTATCTTTAACTTTTTATCCCATTCTAGTAGTATTAAAAGTCCTAGTAAAGTTGACTTTGTCATCTACCCAGCACTTTTTTCTCTCGTGTGTACTGAGCATTAAAGCCTCACAGGGCCTCTAGTGGCTGTAAATTTTTATGTATCCGTTACTTAAGTCAAAGACTTAAAAGATGGTCTTTCTTTTGGCAAATAACATGTGAACTATAATACTGAAAAAGGATAAAAATAACAGCAGACTGAACTAACACAAAGGCACTTTGATATAAATGTAGTTAGAAAAAGGGTCAATACACTTAGTCTCCTCTTTGGGCTTAAGGTTATTGTCACCACAGTATGGTGAAACTGAATAATAGCACATTTGCTGAAAATGGCACATTAATATTAAACAAGAGCAGCAGACCTAAAGTCTTGATGTCATGCAGGCGGTTGTTGGGTGGCGTCAGAGTCTTAAATAAAGTTATAAATTCCCATTAGAACAATGGCAGACTAATAAAGCCATTTTAATGTCTAAGCAAAGAGGGCCTTGGCCTTGTTTTTGTAAGCTCCTGGTTTAAGCCAGGCCAGCAGGGGAGGATGCAGTGAAGTCCCATTATTCCTTCTGCTTTTCAGGCCAAGAACACGTTTTTTTCCGCTGGCTTGGGGTAACTATTACAGCATTAGTTTACAAATACAAGCAGAATTTTCCAGGGCACTGTTCCCCTAGAATTTGTTCTTGCCAGTTTGGAAACAGCAAAGACACTCAGTTTTTCCATTGAAACCAATATAGTGTCATTACTGTCAGGGGATTTTTTTGTGTTCACAAGTCACTGGCCTTAGGACTCAGAAATGTTATTTAAATACTAAAATTAAGTGGTAATCTGCTTTATCAACCACATGACTTGTTGCCGCCCTGTGGCCAACTATCTGATTTGGATCTGAAGACTCTGATGACTTGAGGTTATTTTGAAGTCTTTCTTAGGTCATTGTTTAGTGTTACTTTGTCGTTTTATTCAAGACTCACTCACAAAAGAATAAACATATGGATAATGGCCATAAATAGAGGGTTTTTTTGTATTCTGCCTAATTGTTGACAGCCTAACATGAGTTAAAATAGCAGAGAGTTTGCCTGTGGGGTGCAACATGTAACAGAAAACAGATTGAGGGGGGTGTCATTATATAATCCCGTTTATCTGTGCGATTTTAGAGTTGCAGCAGTTCCATGGAGTGCGGAGGTTCGAGCTGGAGCGGTCCTGCTGCTTCAGCGCCCTGCTGTTGGATGAGGAGAGAGGCCGTCTCTTTGTGGGCGCCAAGAACTTCCTGCTGTCGCTATCATTAGACAACATCGCCAAGCAGGAACACAAGGTTGGTCAGAACCAAAATCAGTAAAAAACACAATAAATCAGGAACTACTTTAGTTGGGCAGACAACACATAAAATCTTAATATAAATATGTTTTACTGCCTCACAGCAGAAAAAAAACAGTTTGTTGGTTAAGGTTTCAACACTTTGATTTAAAACACCCTAAGCTCATGAGAATGTAAAACACAATGCAGTCCATTAAAACAATGTGAAATAAAACAAAGGAGTATTAAACAGTAATTAACAGTGTTAATTACAAGGTGATTATAAGTGATCACAATAAGGAAGTCTTTTTTATTTACAACCAGGGCCATGTTATCTGATTCCTAAGAATCACTTATTTGTTATCAAAGTCAGGCCACACACACTTCATGATTTTTTTATGTTTTTATGTGGACCTTGAGGCAATGCAGAAAGAAAAACATAAAAAATGTGTAGACACATTTTACCAACATGCCCTTTTGAAAGTGACTGGATTGTACTGAGACCACTCAAGTGAGTACCGTAGCCTCACATGTAAGAAGAGAAGAAAGAGAAATGTGGGATTATTGGACAAAGGTATAAAATCCAAGTGTTGGACTGAGATTAAATTAATCTAAAACACGCTGTGATTGATATCTAAATGATAACCTTTGCCTTTAGAATATAGTCATAGTCTACATGATAGAAGCACACTTGCGCGGACTTTAATATAGCCTACACATTGAAGCGAAAAATACATTTATATGTATTGTACACACTGACAAAAACACACAGTGCACTTAAACACATAGATACACACAAAAAGCCATAGATAGAAAGAAAAATACAGCCTACTACAAACATCTGTTCACAGCTGTTTGGAGTAAATTACATGCTTGGTGCGTTAGATGTTAAACCTCTGTTGGTTTTAGGTATATGGGCGAGTTTGATTTATGACCTGGGTGTGCAGATTCACCAAAGCTCAAGCTGTTTTTCGGTGTGGTAAGGGTCGTCCTCCTTTACAATGAGAAAGGAGGATGAGAAGGCGAGGATAGAGGAGAAAGAAGCAGATGGGAAAGGATGAGGAAGAGAAAGACAGGAAGGGAAGTTGGACAGAAGTATATAGAGGGTGAAGGGAAATGAGATGAAAACCTTTATTTATACAAACCTAATGTGATGTGTGCATTGCTCAATGGCATATTATTACTTTAGAGGGAATAAACACAAATAATTTCAACTTTTTCATTAAGCAGACTGTAAATTAATCCAGATAATGAATTAGGACTTAAATTCTTGCCTGCTGTGTTTCAGATCTACTGGCCCGCTCCCGTCGATTGGAGGGAGGAGTGTAACTGGGCTGGCAAGGATATCACTGTAAGTCTCTTCACACTTCACTTTACTTAATCTCACCTCATCCCATTTTCTACTGTATTTTATGTTAGTTTACAAAAATATACAGCTCCATGGAACCTGAAAATGATCATCTTCATCCCTCCTCTGAAGTGATGTGTTCTGTGACAAAAGAAATGGATCAAACCTCATATTAGTTTATTGAATATTCTGTAATCGAACATGTGAAGACCACACTTATTATTATCATTATTAATAGGGTTATATGACTGTGTAAGAACGATAATGCAACACATAAAATCCTTTTTAAAAATCACTCCTCGTCAGACTTCGTATATTGCACACAGAGTTAACTAAGAGGGCTGAGGAGCTCTTTGTGGAGGAGGTAACTGTCCACTCCTATCCAGCACAACACAATGCTACCTTTTAATCCACTGGAGTCATGGGAGTCATCACAAGACAGAAACACCACGTTTAAACAGATAACATGCAATAATGGGTGCAACACTCCTACTTTTGGACCTGCCCTTTGGTGAGATCACTTCCTCAATCTTTTTGTTTTAAACTCAATCTTACTGAGATCCGCTCAGTTTGATGCTGAGCCAAAAATATTTGTTTTTCCACAGCAATTTAAAATCAGTGTGCGTTCATTTTCGTTCGTTTAAGTTTCTTAAACGTCAAGTAAAAGAGAAACTTTAATTTGGTTAAGGAATTAGACAAACACAGTTAGCACAGCTTCATTTCTGCTGGACAAACATGATTTCTGGGCCATGTTAACAAATCCAAGATTAAAACACATCACAGCTTTACAAGAGATCATGTTCATCACAAAGACTTCAGCCAGGAAAAGTACTGCTGTGACAGCAATGGGAAGGAGTATAAGGAAAGACTGTTACCATTAGCAGTAACAATCATTTATTCATAAGTCATTCTTGAACAGTGATTGGCACTAAGTAACGAGCTTCTGGAAGCCTATGCTCTCAATATGGGAGCATCTTGTATCACTAACACAATAATTAAATCACGTTTCCAAAATAACGTTAGACGGGGGAAATCTGTTTACTGACCCACTGCAAACATGTGTTAACAGCTTACATAATCTTAGTAAGATACAGTTAATGAGTTACAGACTAAACAGATAAAAGAAATGATACAAAATATGTCACAAGATCAGAAGGGAAGGACCGGAGTGACAGCATATATGGCTGCTACAAGAACTCATGTCCTGTGATGCTCTCAGGACTGTTTCTCCAAACATAGGCCACCCGGCTTCTTCCCTCTGTCTTTTTATCACCTGCCAAAAAGTTTCAAAATCAAGATTTTCTATTTCGATCTACAGAAGAGAAACATTTAGTTTCCAAGAATATGCAGAGTAAATACTGTATGTGATGATTATGTGTCTAAATGTGATCTTCTGTATCTGGATGGAGTCTGGGCAGAGCAGGCTTGGCTTCACTGACAGACATGTAGAGGCCACCAAGAGCCTATAGACCACCCAGGATTACATCACACACAATTAGCCAACTCTACATATGTGTGAGTGTGCGTAGGTATGTACACGTGTGTGTAAAACAGCTACCCCAGTGTGCCTTGACATGATTAAAATCAGTCTATATATACTGTATTTATGCTCATGTATTCGAGAGTGTGTGTACATTCGGTCATGTATGTGTATGTGTGTCTTTCTTTGTGTGTGTGTGTGTGTGTGTGTAAAACAAACCCTTCATCAATGTGATTACACAGCTGTAGCAGACAGACAACGAGCTCCATTCATACAAAACTCCAGGCTCCAGTTTCACCTGACCAGGAGTCTGTCTGAGTGTGTGTCCAGGTTTCTGTGTGTGTCCTGTGTGTGCGTATGTGTGTGCGCTTGAAGGAGCGAGTAAAAGTGGAGACGGAGAGTAGTGGAGAGAATTAGTAAAATTGCTCCAGAGGAAGAGGGGAAGGAGAGATGGAAAGAGAAAGAGATAAGAAAATACAAGAGAAACTCTGAAAGGAGTTTCCCTCTGGACAGTTGTCATCCCTGCCCTTCTGGCCTTTGAAATGTTATTTTTATCCTTTGTTAAACACTCACTCCCCTCTTATTCCTTTTGACTTTGAGTATCTTTGTGAAAACTCACCCACACACTGAGAACTGAGCTGACCTCACACCATTGACCCTAATTACAGAGAAGTGTGTTTCTCTGTTGGAAGAGGCCAACATTTCTCTCCCCCACTGGATTTCTTCTCTCCTACTTTCCTTACTCTCTTTCTCTCTCACCTAACAGAGGCTAACTCTCTGGTGTTTCTGTGGGGAAGTTTGTAGGATCATCATCATGGGAAAGATTGCTGTCCGATGGTGCTTCTACGGTCATCAAAAGCACAAGTATTAATAATCACGCCAAAATACTAAGCACAGGGTTAGCAAAAAATAGCTTAATCTCATAGGAATAATGAGTCTTGATCAGCATTTGAAAATGAGCAGTGTGTGTGTCTAAATGGAGGCTGGGGGAGGTGGGCCGCCCTCCTCTGATTAGAGGGCGTTTTTTTATATATATATATATATATAAATGTCATATGAAATGACATAAAGCAGTCCCAAATGCTCGACTCTATGTCAACATTGGCCTTGCAGGTTCACGGTGACTTAAAACAGTAGATTGCGTGTCAACATTAACACCATCATTGATTGATATTCAGACTGAATTTTATAAAGCATAAAGTAATCTTTGTACATTATTTTATTCATTTATTTATATATTGCATTTTCCCCCATTGGTCTGTTTCTTTTCTATTATATCAATTCAAATTAACTGCAATGCTAGCTACCTCAAAAATGAGTTCTCGAGTACATTACACGCTATCCGGTAGCTCAACAAATACACACAAGGCATGTGATGGGCTTAACAAGTTGCCCACATTAAGACAAGTAATAAACACTTCATCACTCACACACACACCCACTGACCACAGGGGAAGCCACCTAACATGCACACAGACACATTAACACAAACACAGACACATGCACATAAACACAGTCAGACAGTGGCAGTAAACAGTTGACAGTTCACCCAGACACTGAGTCTGACTCAGCGCTCTGACTGAGGCGTCACTGTAGGGCTGAAGCCATATTTAAACCTACAGAAGTGATGGATTGTGGGTTTTACTGTCATGTTAGCACCAGTTAAAAGAAGATCACCAGTTAAAACCCACTGACTGGCTGGTAAATTGTGACTGGGGAAAGTGGTTCATGTTGTGTTTGAATGACTGTGAATGCTTAAAGTCTGAAATGTAACCCCTGCTTATGTTTTTTGACACCAGGGGTTTCTGCATATAATGGCCATGGTAGCAATGTTCATGTATTCAAACAACTGATAAAAACCTAATATTTACATTCAGTTGCAAAGCAGGAATAACCAACTCAACAACACTACTAACAACACTTACAAAACACCCATATTTTGTCATTTAGATCAAAACTTGAAGTGGGATGGGACTTAACCCTTAATTATTGAGCGAAACAGCTCAGTGGCCTCCAAACGTCTGAATCTGTAGCACGCTCCTGACAACCAACAAACATAATCATTTAACTTTCACTGTGTAGATTGGTGTAGATCATTAGTGTGGAGGGATTCGTGTCACAGGAGAACAACAGTTACTGAAACAATTTCCCAGGAATCCAAGTAATCAAGAAAAGGGAAATCCCACTCCGTCTCGATGTGTTCCTCTGACCTTCCACACTGTACAGCTACAATAATATCACAGAGTCCAGAAAACTCCAGGAGGAATATGTCAGACAAATGTCAATGCTGCTACATTTTCCTGTTCAGTAGAAGCGATAAAAGGCATTCCTGGGATATTCCACTGCGCTGTGTATCTAATGGCAGTCTACTGTGTGCCATCATTCTGTGTGTGTGTGTGTGTGTGTGTGTGTGTGTGTGTGTGTGTCAAAGGCTTTAACTTTATTAAAGTTTACTGGTTCACTGGGCCTGTTTGCTCTCAGACGCAATCAAAACAGAGAAATAAAAGTTAAACAGTAGCGGAAAATATGTGTTTAGATAGGTTGGAAAACAATGTCAGTGCCAGATAAAAAGGGAAGATGAGGGAGGTTATTCTTAAGAATCAGTTTTGAGTAAATTTTCCTTTATTACTCAATACATGACGCTTTAAAGAATACCCAGTTTAAGTGACACAGGCAGAGATTTAGAGAAGTAGCAGAGGGACAGATAATGGCTGAAATGATAAATAGGTAGATCGGGTTAATAATTTCCAGAATGGAAAGGATAAAGAGAGGAAAGGGAAAAAAGACATCCACTGAGGAACAATACAGCTTTATAAGACATAAAGGAAGGACCTGAATCTCAGGCCGCAGTGAGGTCACAGTCTGCGCTTTGCTCACTGTTTCAACTAATGAGTCAGTGGTAGGTCAAAGGTTGGCCAGTGAACCCTTTAACACCCACCCACACCCACCCACACACACACACACACACACACACACACACACTGATCAAATGTGATTGCCAGCATAATTCACCTCCCTCGTTCTCCTCTGTTCCTTTCTGATCTTTTCAAAGTCTTTCAAGCGTCTTTTCTCTTCTTACCTTTTCTTTTCCTCCTGCTCTCTTTCTCTTTTGTCACATCAAAGAATTGACTTTGTCAAACTGCCGCTCTGCTGACTCCCTCACCTTCCTCTGCCCTCTGACACACACACATACAATGAGAGTTAGAGGAGGAGGAGGAAGAGGTCTGGCTTCTGATACACACACTGGGAATCATGAGAAAAAAGTTGAATGGAACTTGGCACAAGTATGTTTCATCAGAGAAACATGGATAGCTAGCGAGGTGTGTGTTTTTAAATGTGTGTGTGTTCATTCATTGTGTAAGTGTGTGTGTCAGCCTGAGGGTGGAGGTAAAAATGAAGTGCGTGTGCGTCTTGCTTTCATGGGAAAAAGAGGTCTCCTGTGTTTGTCAACAGCTTAATCGGTCTGTCGATTGGTTGAACACCTTCACATGTGCACACACACACACACACACACACACACACACACACACACACACACACACACACACACACACACAGAATCATGTATGTATTCACACACACCAACTCTGGCTGAAAGGCAGGTCTTTGTTCTAAATCACTGAGAGTCGTGTGTGTATGTGTGTGTGTGTGTGTGTGTGTGTGTGTGTGTGTGTGTGTGTGTGTGTGTGTGTGTGTGCTAGGCCTAATGAGCCACAATTCCGCTTCTGTCACTGCTTTCACAACCTGGCCTGTCTGTCACACTCGGGTGAGGCTGAAAGACAGAACAGACACATAAAGAAAGATGAGATTAAAGGTGTACATAATAGAGAGATGAAGATTTGAAATATACCATACACTTTAATTCATCATTAACTAGTTCTAGTTTGAAACTGAGCATTACACACAGAGATCACATCAATGCACCAATGACAACAACAACCACAGTCCATACTTGGAAAATTGGAAGACAAAGACCAAAAGCAAATACCAAACTTTGCTGTTCAAAGTCCTTTACACACAAATGTACCTGGAATTAAGTCAAAATAACAAATATAATTAGGAAGCATGTGCAGGGTTGATTGTTCATTATCCCAATCTGTCGCTGACGGTCAGATTCATTTCTTCTCAAATTACTTCTCCAGTGGCTCCCAGGGGTCCAGCGGTGTTTGTAACTGGATCGACAGACAGATGTTACAGTGTTCTGTCTGGGGAAAAGCAGACTGCAGAGAAAGAAATCTTAATGTTAAATTAACTGTGAGAGCCAGTGTGTGTGTTTGAAGTATAGTGTGTAAAGACTTTAATTTTGAGAAAATGACTCCTACTGTAAAAAGCACAAAATCAATCTATACGTTTTTAACCCAACCATAATGGTAGCCGACCAGTCAGTGTTCACTGTTCATAAGACAACAATGGCAGCTCCCATAGAGGTTAGCGTAGATGCTACTAGCATCAGTTATATTAGAATTGCTTTCTTCATTGAAAGAAGAGCAAAAAAAAAAAGAGCACTGAAGGCTTGTCTTGATGGAAAACATGTTTTTGTTCTTATCCCGACTTCAGTCAGTTTGACTATGGTTCACTGATAGACAGATGGTTCCTCCCATTATCTGCAGACTATTCTTTGAAAGTGCCAGCCCCTTTTCCAAACACTTTCCAACAATTACTTTCCAGTGCAGTCATGTTCAGTTTTCACAGACATTTGAAAGCATAATAGCTCATTATATATTATAGAGCCCCAGGGCTGAAGATAACTGATAATCATGGAGATAATCATGTTGTCCATGTTATCTTCACTTAATGGGGTAGTTGTAAAACAGGCCAATCTCCTGGTGTTAAGATCAAGACTAGAAAATGAGTGTGTACCATCCAGTCTGTTAGTGTACAGTAAATGTTCTCTCCAGCGGTCTCCTGGGATCCAGCTTAAAGTAACCTAACTCTGAAATGGACAGACTGTGGGTCAATAACCTGCTGTCTAGATAAGAAGAGGAAAGGAGTTGATGTGAGGGAGGATAAAGGAGGAAGAAAAATACTTTAATAATAATAACTTTAATAATTAAGCACCACTTAACGCTTGTTTTTTTTTTGTCAAATTCCTCTATTTGCTCGAAATATTTGAAAATTAGAAGAAAACAGTCAAATATCAAGCAAGTTTTAAAGAAACAATTTAAAATTGCTCACTGAATGATTCAGACACCAGCTTTTAGCTTAGCTTAGCATGAAGACTGGAAGCATGGGGAACCAGTTAGCTCTTTATGCAGGTAACAATATCTGCCTACCAGCACTTCTAAAGGTCATTAACTGAAGCATAAAAATAACACACTGTGTTTTAACTGGGGGATTTTACCGGGTTATACTGCAGTTTATTCAACAGAAAGATACAAGAGTGGTATTGAACTTCTTGTCTAACGCCCTACAAAGAATATTCCTTTAAAAGGAAGTTACATGCAGAAATGCATTGGGTGTGTGTGTGTTTCTTCACAGGTATTTTTGTCTTTTGCTCTTTATGGTTCAGTTGCGGATTCACCTAACTGAGATTTACTGATGTAAATGTTTTAACTAGACCAGAATAATGTCAACACTGTTGTGTGCACTCACATGGAGGTTTATATGATCATATTACAAGTGGTTAGACACACACAGAAGGCATGTGTGTGTACAGCCAGGACACAAAGGCTGCTACAACAGTGTTGGAGGTGGAGCTGAGAACTCGACAGTTGTTGTCACAAGCAAGACAGGGTGAGAAGAGCTATGTGAGGAATGTTCATCACTAAACCAAAAAAGAGACAGAGTCCAAGTTTTGGTCGATCTTGAATTCACTGTGTTTGTTTTTTTCTTGTCAACTTGTTTTTACTGTAGCTAACTCAGGTCACATTCATGGGATTCTTTTTGGAATTCCAGACATTTTGGTGACCTAAAGTATACATTGTACAAGTGATACACACAGTGGGTTTACCTAAAGGATAATCCCACCAATATATTTTAGATTCAGTATATTTTAATCCAATGCATTTAAATCATGTATGTGGGGAAAAACAAATACCCAAATCAAGGATTAACACTTAAAATTACTATCCATAGCTAAACTGAAACTGTGTATCTCTGTGTGTCTTACAGTCTGACTGTGTGAACTATGTGAAGATCGTACACCACTATAACCGGACACACCTGTATGCCTGTGGAACTGGGGCCTTCCACCCTACATGTGCCTTTGTAGAGGTGGGACACAGAATGGAGGTGAGAAATACACAAAACAAAAAAAACACAAACACACACAAACTGTTGAACTGCAGTAGCCTTTTCTTTTTTCTTTGTTTAAGTGCGTCAGAAGATCTAGATCTAAATAATAATCAGGCTTAAAGTCATAGACACTTAAAGTATCTCAAACACCATTTGTTTTCAGTCAATCAATTTTATATCTATGATATATTAATCAATTACTAGTGACATAAGTGCAATAAAACTGTGTTCAAATGCCTGAAAATGTCTATGTCCTCTGCCAACAAAATAACTTTACAACTATTACAAGTGAGAACATAATCTGAATAAACTGCAGGCAAGAACCTCAAAACACAAGGTTTATGTGTATAAAGAGGTGAATGTTGACATCCGATATCCAGCAGTAACTCATGCTTGAAAATCTTAGCATAACAGAAAAAGGACTCAAGGAAAACTGGAGTCTAGACTGATGCCGCAGAGAAGGTAAATTATGGCAAAGAGTGCAGACTAATCCATCATGCTAAGCTCAAGTTGCTGGTTTCAAATCACGCTGCCAACACCTCAAACCTGAAATCTTATCCCAAAAATGACTGTATGAGTCCGACAAAAGAAAAGAAAGTGTATGTGTGATCACACCTTATATTTTCCCTGTTGCCTCTCGCCAACAGGACCATGTGTTCAGGATTGACCCCTCTAAGGTGGAGGATGGGAAAGGGAAGAGTCCGTATGATCCTCGTCACAATGCTGCATCTGTACTCGTCGGTAAATAAACCCCTGCATATTAATATGTGCTTATTATACATGCTGTCTCAAAAGTGTATGATTGGAAACATAATATTGTTGTGTTCATTTTCTAACATTGTTAGGTGGAGGCATAGCCCTAGTCATCAGTGAAGATCACATGAGTAATCAATGAGTTATTGATTCATTTTGTCTCCTAGGTGATGAGCTATATGCAGGCGTGGCCACAGACTTAATGGGACGAGACTTCACCATCTTTAGAAGCCTGGGGAAACGTCCCTCTATCCGCACCGAACAGCATGACTCCCGCTGGCTCAATGGTGTGTGTGTGTTTTATGTGTCAGCTTAGGCATCAATTAATTCTCTTTACATTATAACCAGCCTCAGCCTGGTTGTGTTTAAAACCAAACTCATAACTTGTTTGACAAATACCTGGGTGACTGACATTGTTCCTCTTTGTGTCTACTAGAACCAAAGTTTGTGGGTTCCTTTTGGGTCCCGGAAAGTGAAAACCCTGATGATGACAAAGTATTTTTCTTCTTCCGCGAGACGGCGGTTGAGGCCCAGGGACTGGGAAAGTCCACTTACTCCCGCATCGGACAACTCTGCAGGGTGAGAGATTGTTTTATCTCTTAAGTTGAGTATTTTAGATAAACTGTGTGTGAAAAAACAATAGTCTGCACCAGGCCCACTCAACTGTTTGACTGATTCTGTAACAAAATAAGGTCATTTTCTGTTTTAAAATGTTAATGTTATTAAGTGGTAAAAGTGGCTGGTTCCAAATTTATAACACTGCTGTTACTAATCATGTTTCCATCAATGTTTTTATTTTAATTTTGAAATATTGCTATGATAAAACATAACTTTTTAAATAACTATATAATAATAACTTTTTTAAAAGTTCAACTGACTATTTTAATCCCAAGCCCTATTCTTCTGGTTCACCTAGTATCACGTATCTTGATGAACCAGCTCCCATATTTGCATAATATTCACCTGAATATATCACATTTTTCTTGCCAATTTACTCGAGATTCAGTTAAAATTTGCATTCAATTTAGATGGAAACACAGCACCTGTCTTCTTTCACTCTAAACATTTTTTTATGTAATATCCTGTTTAACAATTCTTGACTATGTTTTTCTTTGATCAGAATGACATGGGCGGTCAGAGAAGTCTGGTAAACAAGTGGACGACATTCCTCAAGACCCGTCTGATCTGCTCGGTACCAGGAGCCGACGGCAGCGACACGTACTTTGATGAGCTGCGTAAGTTCACTGTGAACACAGACAGATATTTTACTGTATCAACTTACAGTATTTATGGCTAAAATTAAAATCAAATAAAAGTCTTATGTAACATAACTCATGTTTGAAGTGATGGCCCTGCATGATACTCAGGTAAAAGTCATTATATGTATTTTAGCTTGCATAAAGCACAAATGTGACCTGACTCACCTCACAATAAATGTTCTAATGTCACGTCCGCATTTCCAACATTATCATAATGCACAAAATAATCTCATTTTTCAGAGGTCAGAAAAAGCAGAACAAAATGTTGAATTTTGGGCTGATTTTCCAACCTTGCTTTGTCCATTGGATTTTTACCCAGAAGCACATCTCTCACTCTGGGTGCAAAGGGAGAGAAAGTTGAGGAGAGCATAATAAATTAACCAGGATTTCTGACCTCAATTGTAGATTATCATTCAGTCCCACATTCCTGCAGACTTGTACAACATATGAGTGAGAGATTAATTGGTAATAGATTCTGGCCAGTGTTTTTACTGTGGGTTCAGAAGTTGCAAGCTTGTCTTTGGTGATTTTTCGTATAACAAAAGGCAATAATGTGTTTTCATTAGACTTGATCCAGTAGCAAGGCTACATTTCTAAAGCCCAGAGTGTGGGTAGGGGAAATATTTTATGATTAAGAAGACATAATTTAACTGAAATGTACTCGGATAGTTCCACAAATGTCTGGTGCCAGTTCACCCGAGCATTGTACTCATAAAACTACTCGGACCTGAATGTATGATTTTGTAAAATATGACATCATACAGTAAAAAAAAAAAAGGATAGGAGGAATCCCTGGACTTCTCTGGACTCAGATCATGTTTTTTCTTCTGCAAAAAAAACTGTCCCTTTGCAAAATCCCTCCTTTAAGCAATTGTCCTATCATAACTTAACCACCGTAATAGTCTGTGGAGGCCTGCCAATCTCTACATTTCTGCTGATGCTGACTGTCATAAGGAGGATAATCAAAAGAGAACAATGGGTTTTTTAAGCATTGCAAAAACCATAAAAACCAGAACAATAGACTAACTACACCTCATAAAATCTGCCAGGGACAGTTGTCATTTCAGTTCGTAAAATTTGTCACCAAGTACACAAGAAGCGTTTTTGTTTATCTGTCTGATATAAAAATGACAAAGAATTACCACTTTAAACTGGATATGTGCCCTGTGAGAATCGGAAAGATCGACAAGCTTACTAACTTGGCAAACAGTTAATTCAACTAAATATGCACTTTATCTTAATAAGTAAAACCATGACAGTCAGACCATTTAAGTCCATTAAATTAAGCCATCAGTCATGGTGTTTACACATCAGCTGCAGCAGTTTCAGCTCTGATTTGATTGATGTCTCTGACCATATCTGTGGGCAACAATATGATCTGTCTTTGTGCTTATCTCAGGACGCAGTAAAAGGTCTAAGTGGAAAAAGTTGTCCAATCCTAACCCTACCTTAGGCTAAATCTGTCCATCACATTCCCTCATATGAACAATGAGTCCCTTATCTTGAGCAAGAGTTTTCTGACCATACCTTAGGCCAAATTCTGATTTGAACCTGTCAAATTATTCTACTTATACTCACATCACATTACTTTTTAATAGTTTGAATACTGGAGTTAAAATTATTGTCAGTTATTAATTTATTGTGGACCAAGACTCGGAAATGCATTTTATCAGATCTGACAAGTGTAAAAAAAAAAAAAAATGGGGGTAAATTATTGTTACAAAGCACTGCTGGAAGCTGTAGTGGATTTCGTTCCATGTCATGACCCTCAGTTATTAGTGAAATGTCTCTTTAAAGTAGTTAGACATGGCCACAGGGCTTTGCTTATCTTTCTCTCAACCTTTGACCTCTGGACTACCACCACCTGACGTGAGTGTGTGTGTGTGTGTGTGTGTGTGTGTGTGTGTGTGTGTGTGTCCGTCCTCAGGCGATGTGTTCCTGCTGCAGACGAGGGACAGAAAGAACCCTCTGGTTTACACTGTCTTCTCTACTTCCAGGTCAGAGTTCATTTATATTGTGTGTGTGTGTGTGTGTGTGTGTGTGTGTGTGTGTGTGTGTGTGTGTGTGTGTGTGTGTGTATGTGACTATGCACATGTGCAAATGAGAGAGAAAGGAGAGTGAGAAAAGAGTGTGAGTGCGTTTTGATCTTTCTAACCCAGCTTCCCCTGTCCCCCAGCAGCAGTGTATTTAAAGGCTCAGCTGTGTGTCTCTACTCCATGAATGACATCCGGAGGGCCTTCCTGGGGCCCTTTGCTCACAAAGAGGGGCCCAACTACCAGTGGGTCCCCTTCCAGGGAAAAGTCCCCTATCCCCGCCCAGGAATGGTATGTCAATAACAGTCAAGACCCATCCATTGAGTAGTGTCAAGAGTTTCTAACCCTGGTGAAAAGTACATTTACCAAATAACTGTACAGTGTACAAGTACCATTCTGAGTAATTTTTCTGGTCCTTCAGAAATTTTTTTTTTTATGTACTTTACTTGCATTAATGCATTGAATTAAGATCTTTACTTGTACTTTTGCATATAGCTACTAGTCTTACATAACAGATTTTAACATTTGTTTCTAATATTTCTAAACTGGAAAAATACAAAGTCAGATAAATATGAATACATTAATCTCATATAATATTCTTGTGATATAAGTCTTATAGACACTTAATACACTTTTAGTACTCAGTATTAGACCTCATTTCATCCAAAAGCGCTCCACAAGCCTTCTAATCAATATGTGCTTATTAGGGCTCTTACATTCTACTAAGCACACAAGCGTAGCGTCAGCAGGATTTGTTATGCACAGCTTCAGCTATTACTGCCACAGCAGAACAATCACCATTGTATTACTGCAGAATAGCAAGTGTATGTGGCCTACAGTAAACCCTGTCTCACACCATAATCACCTCACTGGGTCGTAAAATTAGCAGAACGAATCAAATTAAAAGAAAATGATCACACTTACAAGTGAATTATGTAAATCTGCATAGAAAGCAGATTCAAGGTTTGAAATACATAAATCAGATCAAAAGTATAAAACTGCATGATGCTACAGCATATTTTAGTATCCTGAAATAAAAGTCCAAGACTGGAATTTTAATTAGAGAGGGAGGCTGGACCCTGACCTGGAGAAAATCTCTCACGTCCCTGTGACCCATCACGCCATAATCACATCACTGTGGCCTGTGAGCCCGCAGCGTTGACAAGTCAGACATTTTATAGCAGGTTACATGCAGAGCAAACACAAAACACATTTGCTCATCAAATATAGCATAAGCCATTATGGAATGTTTGGGTCCAAACATGGCAAAGAGTCTCTGAGTGCACGCAGTCAGTCCTGTTCTGCAGAGCTATAACAAATCCCTTACAGTAGATGTGAATTGGCGGCATCATTAAAGTACTTTGAATTGCTGGCTAGTGGCTAAATCCTAAATCTCCCTTCAGTATGAAACATTCATACATTCCCAGGACAATATTTGCTATTGAAGTGGCCCCTATTTTATTTTCTGTATCATTTTTAATGTTAATGTTAATTACCATTTGGCATCCCCCTTTAAGTTCAGTAAACTGTATATCCCAATGGAAACAACAATGCACCTGCAAAATAACTTACATGTAAGCCAATTGCAAAGCTTATTTTTGTGCTGCATCTTTTCATTCATATGTTCTGTAACTTATATGTTTTTGTTTTCAAGTGTATATAAACAAGGACCTTATGCTGAAATATTAATTAAACTTTTCTTTATTGTCCTCCATCAGTGTCCCAGCAAGACATTCGGCAGTTTTGAGTCCACAAAGGGTTTCCCAGACGATGTGATCCAGTTTGCACGTCACCACCCTCTGATGTATAACCCGGTCTACCCTATGAGCCGAAGGCCCGTTTTTGTCAGAACTAACGTGGACTACAGCTTCACACAGATTGCCGTGGACAGAGTCAGCGCTGCCGATGGACAGTATGATGTCATGTTTATTGGCACAGGTGAATTACTTGTTTTCAGTTCTAACTCTAAACTTTATATTTAAACATGAAAGTAATGAAATGATGTATGAACGGTAACTCTCTAATTTCAGACAAAGGGACAGTACTAAAGGTGATCAACGTCCCCAAGGAGAGCTGGAACAACATGGAGGAACTTCTACTGGAAGAGCTGGAGGTCTTCAAAGTAAGAAAACTATGACAGAGCTAATTTCTTGTAGATATAAACTATTGTGTATTGGCAGTATATTGAGTGAGAATGCTGTATTATATATATAAACTGTCTTTAATGATGCTGATTTTTTATATGAAACATGATAATTCATTAGCTGTACCTTCTCTGCTCCTCAGGATGCTTCATCTATCATCAACATGCAGATCTCCTCAAAACGGGTATGTTTGTTTTATACCTAAAATCACTGATGAAAAAATGGAAGACTGTGGCCTCCATTTTAATAAAAATATATATATATATTGATCTTTGGATCAGAACAGCAGATCAGGATGAGTACGGGATTTGATCAGCACGTTCATCTGTTCAGACATATAGTAAGATGCAGAATACAGAAGGATATTTCGCCAACAGTCTCAGCAGGAAGAAAGTGGGACCTCGTTTTGCAACTTCACTGGATGTCTGGCTTCCATAAGAGTGTTTACTCAACTTGTGGCTCTAATGTGAACTGATAACTATCAATGCCACAAGGAGGCATCATAAATTACAAAATTGTCCTGGACATAGAAAGTTTGGATGGTTAGATTTAAGACACATGACTTATTTTAAATCCTTTTTTAAAATATGTCCCTCCACTCTGTATTCCTACAGCAACAGCTGTATCTGGGCTCAGACACAGGCATTGCCCAGGTTCCCCTTCACCGCTGCAGCGTGTACGGGAAGGCCTGTGCCGAGTGCTGCCTGGCCAGAGACCCATACTGCGCCTGGGATGGAACATCTTGTACCCGCTACTTGCCAAACACCAAGAGGTTTGTGACACAAACACTTATGACACACACCAGATGATGATTTATTACACCAAGCAAGGAAAACAATGAAAACGATTGTATTTGCAAGTATATTCAAATCCTTTTAAAATTCCTCTAAGTAACTTCTAATATACTCTTATTAACAACATTTTACAGACGTTTCCGACGCCAGGATGTAAGGAATGGAGACCCCAACACCCTGTGCTCTGGAGGTATTATTCAAAAACTATTATTTTGTCTTGGTTGTTAAAATAAAAACATGAAAGCTCTGGTAGTTGTGGTCAGTTTAGTTGACTGCTATAGAGGTATATTCAATATATGAGAACAAAGCCTCACTCTGATACTGCTCTGACTCACAGTCTCACTGCATCTGACATCTCACTGTCCCTGTGCCAAAAAATCCCAAATCTTTCCACCCTTCACCCCTGGTGACCTCTGTCCTCCCAGACCACAATACCAGCATTCTGTCACTCTCTGTCTTTCTGCCACATAGCTGATTCAGGCTAATTACTCAAACTGAAGGGGTTCCTGAGTAATACGATTACATCATGTGCATACAAGCTGGGTTGTGTAAAACTAATGAAAGTCAGAGTAATTGTCTCTGATGAAAGTGGCATGCCCCAAAGCACTGATCAGGGTTCATTTTGGCAGTTTATACACCATTGTTTACCCAGTAATTTCTGTAGTGCTTGTGGCTAGAAAGGAAACTGGTCTTATTCTGACCCAGACATGGTCTTGATGTTGCATATATTTAGTATTTTGGTAGAAATTTGAGTAAATGCACTCCCCAGTGACCAGTGTGTAGGATTCAGTGGCAACTCTCAGTGAAGCTGCAGATTGCAACTATTTGAATGCAGCTCAGCCTTGTGTGTAGAAGAAACTATGGTGGGTGTAAAAAACACGAAAGGCGCTATCAAGAGTCTGTTCCGGGCTACTCCAGAAACATGGTGGTTCAACATAGCAGCCTCCATGGAAGATTATTTGTAGATAAAAACAGCTCATTTTAAGGTAACCAAAAAACAACAACATACATTAATGAAAACACACCAACATTTGGTCTATAGGATGCTGCCATTATGTGTGAGTGTGTAGTGCACTTTCCCATCAGCGACCACACAGAGGCAGTCATTAGTCAGTGTTGGCTAACACTATTCTGCTGTTGTTATATTGCTATTATAATTAATCTGGGTTACACATTTTTCACAAGACTGAAAAAGACCCAGTAACAATTTTCTTTAATTTAGTCTTTATAGATAAAGGAAAATGTTTGAAAGTAAGGTTTCTTAGCCAAGCATTATCAGCTCAATCCTATTGTCTTTCGTTGGTCGGTCCTGTGTGTTTTTGTTTTATCCAGGTGTTCCCTTTAGTGCCTTGCCTTGTCCGGATCTTTTTAGCCCTTTTCTCTCCTGTCCCTTCTGCATTGTTCTGTCCCAATCCTTTTAATTTTCTTTGTCTTTTACATTTGTTCCTGGCTCTGGATTGTTAGTGAGTGAGTGATGTCCTGAATTACAGTAGATCCATAATGTCCTTGTCTCTGCCGCCCCCTGCAGACCACCATAAGTACCGTGTTGCAGAGAGGAAGCTGTATGGAGTTGAGGGAAGCAGCACTTTCTTGGAGTGTATCCCCAAATCCCTTCAGGCCAGAGTCACCTGGACCTTTCAGAAACATCCACAGAACGCACGGGAAGAGGTGAGAGAGGGGGTAGAGAGTGGAGAAAGGAGGTGTGTGTATATCAGAAAGCCTTTCTTTCACAATGTGCAATTAGTGTAACATTTATTACAATTGTGTTAAAAGTAATAATAGTAAATAATAATAATGAGAAAGGATCTGCAGTCCTATATTAGTCACCAAGAATGTAAGCTTTTTCTGGTTGGAATTCATTTTTCACACATAACATTAACAACTCATCACCAAGAAGTAAGGGGGGAAAAAAGAATGGATCTTTAGTACCAATTTTCATCGAAACTCAAGCACTGTTAGAGTGACAACTTAATGTCTGTTCTCTTAGCTCTTCCATCAATCAGGGTCAGAATCAGCATCATCTTTACACGTGTGCGTGGAACTTAAGGACACAAGACACACACAGTGCACATTGTTAAACTCCAACATTTTGAAAAGACTTAATTCTGTTTTCCAGGTGCGTCTAGATGACCGCATCCTCCAAACAGACAGAGGCCTTCTGATTCGCCGTGTCTTGAAGAGAGATATAGGCATCTACCAGTGCCACGCCATGGAACACGGCTTCACCCAAACCTTACTAGGCATCACCTTGGAAGTTGTACCTTCAACATCTTCATCAGGCTCCAATCTACCCTCCGACGCCCCTGTCCGAGTAGACCCCCGCAGCGGAGGTGGGCCCTCAATGACCAATCAAAAGCTTTGGTACCGGGACTTCATGCAGCTGGTGGACCACCCTAACCTGAGCACCGTCGACCAGATTTGTGAGCAAGTTTGGGCACGCAAGAATGCCGGTGGTGAACAAGTGGATAAGATCTTTCCTGCTCCAGGGAAGGAGGTCCCGCCTCTGGGCCCAGCTGTCCGCCCAGCTAACAAGAAGTGGAAGCATCTTCAGGAGATAAGGAAGGGGAGAAACCGCCGGACCCACGACGGGAAACCGAACCCCCGGGCACCTCGCAGTGCAGGGGAATAACAACGTAGAGAAAGAAAGTGAGGGAGATAAGAATGACTGATACAAGGAGAAAGGAGAATAATAGAGACTGAGAGACCATGAACTCCTGGAGGTGTTCACACATACAGATACACCCACGCACATAAAAACACATGCAGACACACACACAGCACCTCCTCTATTGTGTATATTTATCTATGGATGCCCCCACTATATGGTACCCCAATCCTTGAGTCCTTGTCCCACTGGCCAGCCCCCGCATGTGCTGCCTTACTGCCCGAATTGATTCTGCACGATCCCTTTACATTGTTCCACTAGCGTAGTCGAGTGTACAAGTAGGTATGTGGGAGTGAATCTCTGTGCACAATAAACTTACACTCACCTGTCATTCCGTTTTCCACTGGGTGTGTATGGAAGGTGGGTTCACAGCACAGGATTACCACAGTTTCCTTAAGTTTGCTCACTACATGCCAGCTACACATGTTATATGTGGATAGTGGCTCACATAATGAACACCCACTCTCTGGACTACACCACTCAGAACAAAAACAGCCCCAAAGTCTTGGATGAACTCTTCTAATGGCTTTTCTTACCTGTAAATTTCCTAACAGTGTTGAGAAAATGGTGGACTATAGTGCTGCGCATAATGGGGAGGAATGGCGAAACGTGTCAACTGGAATATACTGGAAAGTAATGGTCTCTAACTGGAAACACATTTAACTATTTATGTGCAGTCGCACAAGCATGCAGACAAACACTTTTTTAAACATTATTTCTACATAAACAGATGAATTGCTGTGGTACTCTTGTTGCACATATTTCCAGTAACCTCACTTTTCACATGGTTTTGTGTGCGCATTACATAATGCACTCACAGAAAAGGTAGAGATGCCAGCAGCGTGGGGCAGCCTGTGGAACAAATCAGCATGTTGCAGAACTGGTTATATTATATAGTAGGTTTCTTAGCGGTTTCCTTAGGCACATTGAGGCATGTTGCAGAAAAATAAATCACACAATACAATGCAGTCATGGTTAGAGAGAAGTTGTATCTGGCCAGATAATATAATTATATTGAGTTACTGGTCCAAACCACTATAGAACGAGGGGTGGAAAAACTACTGGCATTCCATGATGTGAGAGAAAGATGAGATGTTTACAGTACACAGGCAAAGCTGGAGCACACAGAAGTCATACTCTAAAACAAATACAAGCCCAAATAAGACATGCATTACATCTAAACAAGTTTTAGTTGTTTTATGTGGCATCTTTAAAACACAGAAATATTACAATTGGATTATATTATAATTGGAAGTGCTTATAGCAAAATAGTTTTGACATGATCCAAAACCTCACTGACAATAAGGAGAAGTTATGAGCGCGGTGGTTTGGGTGGGAAGCGTTAATACGATGAGGAGGAAAAGGAAAGATCTTAGTGGACTCAAGTATGACAACCCATGTTTCTGGGCTACAGTACAGTATATATATATTAGCATGATATTTATGAGTTTTATGATTTTTTTGTATTCTAAGCGGTACTTCTACTCCTTGCTCTTTTACACTGTTCTTGCATATGTTGTTTGTGATAAATAGATATATGCAAATAATGAGATGAGTGAGTTGCCGATTCCTCACTCAGCACGGCAAAATGCACAGAGAGCTGTTCTTCTGCGCTACCCACAATGCATTTCAGTGTCCGCAAAAAACAAAAACAAACAAACAAAAAAAATGTTTGACTTCTGACTTCCCGTCTGACTTTACACACTGTTGGAATCACTTCTCAACGTAGTGTTGTAGTCATTACTATCATTGACTTTTGCTGCTTAACGATGTCATCTCTTCCTAATGGACAATTAGTACTATAAGGTCTTCCTTCTCTCTGTCTTTAGTCTGATCTCTCTCTGTGTATTATCTGTAAAGAAACATTGTTTGTTGTCTGTGTTAACATGGTGTGTGTAGCCTGCCCCCTAGTGTCTATTGTGTGTACAGGCTCGGATGAGGAGCCTACCTGTCGTGCGATCCTTCATTATATCATAGTCTATCCACATGAAAGAAAGCAACTGGCCTTGTAAGATAAAACATGCATTTATGTTTTGCATTCATGAAAATCTTTTTATGATGATTATATGGTCTAATTTGTGTTGCTGCCAAACATTTCTCAGAAGTATCATGATTTTAAAGATTTTCAGTATATTGAAATTGGCTTGAATTTGGCTTTGGTGTGTTCATTTATTCACACCGGTCCTGATGACAGGAGGCAACACAAACTAGGTCTGTGAGTGGATTTTAGATGTATGGAATCATTGTCGTTGTTATTTATATACCTTCTTTCTAGAGATGTAATTAACTCTTTAAACTGAACTGAACTGACTGACTGACTCCTGTAAAAGGGACACTCTGCATTTTGACACCACATCTATCATCTTACAGTGAAAAGATAACGTTTAAATGTAGGAAGATGCTGCATGGCTACACATGAGCTCACTGCATTTAAAACACAGAACTAATTGAGGTGATTCATTAAACTGAGATTAAATGTGGTACTTGTGTACTTCCTTTTCTTTAATGAGAGATAACATTGGTAGTGACGTCAAACTTGCCTGAGTCTCCCTTTTAAGCCAGCTGTTGTTTTGTGCTCTTTTGAAATTGCATGACCAATGTTAGTGGCTAACGCGTTTGACAATGGTGCAGTGGCGAGAAAGAGCAAGAGAAAGAAAGCACAATGTTGAATATTATTATTATTATTATTATTCCTATGTATTTATGTGCAAAGATAAGCTGATATGTTGTGGTGGATTTTTATTTTTCTTATAAATGTAGATTTACATCTGTATTGTTCATGTTCTGCTGAAAAAGGACTCATCCTCAACATTTTTTTTGGACATTACAGCCAATGGGAAAGTTCCTTCTGAACACAGTGTCCAATTAGAGTCTTTGTTGCTCACACAGCCCTCCAATCAACACCCCTGTTGTATCCTATGCTATGTGACGCACCCCTGTACGATAGCTCACAAGGAGAGGCTTGTGTGTGTGTGTGTGTGTGTGTGTGTGTGTGTGTGTGTGTGTGTTTGTGTGAGCGAGAGAAATGTGTGCTTGTGATTTATGTGTGTGAGTTTTAGGGGAAAGCAGAGCTCTGTATATAATGGCAAAGGAACAGCGGTGTGTGTGTGTGTGTGTGTGTGTGTGTGTGTGTGTGTGTGTGTGTGTGTGTGTGTAGAGCGGTCTGTAGGTGAAAGTTCAAAGGTCGAAGGCCAAAGTTAATTTGGTGCACTGTAATACTCCCAGAGGTCTTTGTGAAATGTCATGTCAGATTGTTTTTGATTAACACAATAAAAATATGCAGTTACTTAAAATGAAGATTCTTAATCAGTTCTGTCATATGGGTGGGGGTTATGAAAGAAGTCATTATCATTAGTAAAATATCATTACTTAAAGTTAAAAGGAAGTCATATAATAAAGGAGTCGTATATTCTGAGTCATGACAGTCCAACATCTTTGAAGGACGGTAATAAGGTGATGATATGCTGCATTATTATTTTTAATTTCTATGAGATTTCATGAATGATGGGCAAACAGAATGGTGTAACAGCCTGAATTATTCATATTCTTACTTAATCTAATTTTGTTTGATTAAACGTTTAATCTACTTGAACCCAACTCAGCTTATTTGCATTGTGACCACACGGTGGCACTCACGCTATGATGTCGGCTCTACAGGATTGTAGTAGTAGTTTTTAAATGAACCTTGTCCATTCTACGAGGTTCTGACAAACCATATTGAGGGATGAAGATTTTGTTTGGCATTGGGAAAATTTAAAAGAGATAAAGTTTATCAATAAAACAGAAGCAAAAACCACATCCCAGGAAGTCCGTAAACAAGTCAACTCATAAATTCAACCAGCAAGCAGCCGATCTCCTACTACCACAGAGGGCAGTAACTGACTTTTCACCATCTCTGGAACATCTGCTCAGGTAAGTATAGGGTAAGCTAGACAGGTGCCTAACATCCTGCTACACACTTGAATTATATGAACCTTTAGTGTTTTTATTCTGTTAAGACCTTGTTGGTGATACAGTGTTGTTTTTCATTTTATATGTTTCGCCTTTGCATGTCCAGGTCTGATATTTTAATTACATCTGTGTCTGTAGTTGTAGTTTTCTTTTTTGTTTTGTGAATATTTCAATAAGTGTGTTATGTTTGTGTTGTTTACAAATCAGATCCAATTGAATCAATGATTTAATACAAAACCTGCTGAGAGGACCCAAAGAAAAGAGATGGAAAAAGCTGTTTCACCATTAGCCATGTTTCTGTTTAATAATGTATTCATTAAGTTCTTTTGATGAAGATATTCACACAATCGTGTTACATCTACACTCACACTTTTTTTTGACAGATTGCATGAGCCTGTACAACAAAAGTAAATTAAAACAGTGTCTCTTGTCTCCTCCTAAAGTGCTTGAATTGTTAAAAACAGAAAAACAATGAAGCATTAATATATAAGACACTTAACAAAACCATTAAACAAAGTGTTTTAAGCAACAGAAAGAAAATAAATTCAAAACCCTCCTTGCTGAAAAATGGCAAATATAGTCTCTCTCTCACCGAACCCCCCTTCCATCTGTATATCAGTGTCTCCATCTTTCACATTCAGACCCACATTCTTCATACTAATATCATCAGGACCTGCCTGTCAGCACTGGGAACACAGATCCACACAGGAACATACAACACACAAACGTAAAGCCACTTACATTACTACACATGAAAAATATTCACATATGTTTTCAGTGACACACACACACACACACACACACACACACCAATGCAGTATGTGGTCACCTGTCCCATAAACACAAAATGAAATTGGGTCCATATTACTCAAACTGGCATCCCATTAGTTCCCCAGTGTTTTCAATGGCCTTCAGTTTTCTGTATACATTTGTGTGTGTGTGTGTGTGTGTGCTGAAATAGGTTTGCAATGGCCCATGGGGTCCCAATTGATAGTTCATTTCCGTATGCTGCTTTTACTTGGTACCACTTGCCATTCTGTGTGTGTGACTGATTTTGTTTTTATGTATTTTTTTTATGTGTACATATTTCGTCAGTTCCAACTTGTTCAAAGGGCTGTTTGAGGGTTAAGTCTTGGTTTTAGAGTTAGGATCAGGTTTCTGTTAATGTTCAGCCTAGAGTCGTCCACACATAATTTGCCGCAGTTTAAATGTCTCCGAGAAGATTTTGAGACCTGAGACAAACTCCCTTTTGGGTCATCTAGTCTTAAAACACATCTTGACCTCATCTTGAGCTGTTAACGACGCTAAGATGATTTTTAAATAGGTGACATTTAATCATACCTGTAGTACCTTTGTGATCATCATCATTTCATTTCTAAACAAGAAAACCAGGGACAGGGAGGGACAAAAGCAGTGGCACACACACAGACTTTTTGCACATTTTCAATTACTATAAGACGTTCCAGTCTGGCTGGAATAATCCTGTAATCCGTACAACTCAGTTGTGCTGTTTTTGCACCCCCATATCTATAAGACAGACAGAAAATTTCTTATAGTGAGAGGAGTTAAGCAGTCCTGGCTGAGATTCTGAAGTCTGTATTACATCAGTGAGGGTCCAGTACAAGTATAGAAGTGCTTATGTGTTTTTATCCAAGTACATATTTGTGTGTGCGATGCAGGTGCCCCTCTCTCCTGTGAGTAAAGTGAACATATTTCCTTATATAGTTGAGTTTATCATAACAGGGTGAATGCAACTTTGGCACACAGTGGCCTCAATATGAAACACGATATCACTGAGACCAGTATGTTTACATTAAATTTGTCGCACCAGAAAATGTGAACAGAGAAGGCTTTTTCAAGTCATTCCCATGCCATTCAATACAATGTTAAACATAGACATATACGGAGCCGATTGAATGCTACAGTTCACACTGAGCTCATGACAGACTTTAGATGCCATTTTGACCTAAAACTAAATCCATCTACAAAATTAAAGAGGCAGCTTTGTTTTTGTGTTGGTACTGGGAGTACTGGGAGGAATATTTTAGAGGTTTAGAAGTTAGGCACTAGAGCAACCAGAGTCTGGATCATTTCTGTCACATCATGCACTTTATATGACATTATAATACTAAAGAAAACACAGTATTCAGCACTATCTAAACGTCAGGTACCCTCCACCTTGAAATAATTAGGTTTGCCCTGGACCATACATTTAAAGAATATAGGAAACGTATGTTCCCCCTTTATTGCTTTTCTGGAAGAAGTCCAAAACAATTCTAATGATAACTAAAACCTAACTAACTTAAAGGAATAGTCAAGAGTGGCTAACTGGACAGGATTCAGTTTTTACATTTACATTTGGGTTTGTGGGTTTCCCCCCACTATATTACATATTCTTCTTCTACTGAGTTTGTTATGTCTTGTTATGTTGCCAACAGAGGTTTTAATCAAAATGGCATTCATACCATATACAGTATTTTCATCAAGAGTATCCAATATGTTGGACAGAAATGTCTTAGTTAAAGATGACCTGTTGAGTTTTCTTGTAAACAAAGTTTCTGTTTATATTCAGTGTTGTATTGTGTACATCCATGAGGTCTAAAATTTTCTTCCTCATAAGACATTTGTGAAGCCATTCTCTTGAAACATACATTGTTTATCCATGTATCCGTGTTCAATTGCTGGCATTCCTCTCCTTCACTGCCTTTGCTTCAAATAGCACATTGCTCTGTTCCTTGGTGTGTTACTGCCATCTGTAAAATGTCAATATCAATTAAAAAGTGAGAAACCACTTGTACACCCGTGTGCTTGTGTGTGCACACATCCTCGTGCACGTGTACAACACAAACAAAATGTGTGTCCACTCCTAAATACATTGCTCCATAGCTACTGGTGCTCAAAAACTTCTTTAACCTCAAGTCTTTTGGCACCATTTTTGGTTTTCTTTAAGCAGGTGCTATAAAATATTTTTCTTTATAGGAAATAAAAAAAATTGGTACATGGTTTGAGTGAAAATGTTAGCCCTTGTCAGCATTATAAATCAGGGCCTGTGAAGGCCACATTCATGGCTGTAGTATAGTTTTGTAAATTACATCTTGAATTTTTTCTTGTTAGTGTGATCCATCTCGGGCATCACACAGTGTAAAATACAGGAGTTCTAGTTTGTTTGTTTTTCTGATCTCACGTGAGGAAAATCATTTTTGGAGAGCAGTGAATTGACCACAGTTTACAGAAACCCCCAGGAAACTAGAATATATCAATTCCCCCCAAAAAGTCTATTCTTCACATATTATGTGATGATAATCATGTAACTGTGTGCAAGGATCCCACAAGCAGAACAGTGGCTGGTAAAAGGTTAAACGCCTTTTTAGGAGACAGAGTTGTGGTGTTCTTGTGTCAAAATAAAGGTTTACTCCAAAATCAGATTATTGTTATGGCTTGACAGCGTCAGTAGATGATGTGGGAGAAAAAGGAAGGGATAATATCCAACAGAGATCCTGATTCTGTTTTCAATCTCGCTTAAACATTGTGACCATACATCACCCACAGATTGAATAATATGAGAGCATGTTTAGAGTCTAAGCTGCAGAGAGGATTCAACTGCATCTGCTGCATGAATAAACACCATTCTTTCACTATATGCAGGATTGTTTATGTTGAGTTTTAAATGAGAAACAGGAGAATGTGTATCCCTGTGATTGCATCACTTATATTTGCGTCTTACAATAAACACATTGTATGGTGAATGTAAAGCAGTTTCAATGAACCACTAGAACACATAACTGCTACCATGCCACTGATGCTATTGCTATGAAAGTTATTTAGCTCATTGAGCTGTAGTGTATGTAGACTATTTATGAATAAACAGACAGATTATATTCCTCTAGGTGACTTCTTGTGTTACATGTTGGAGAAGTAAAGTCACATTAAAGCTCCCATCATTCAAAGTAAACAGTGAACCTTTTCATTCAAGCGACTACAGCGATTTAACCGACTCTTTCAGTAACTGGATGAATTAATTTAAACATCACTCTTTGTTTATTCTTTTGGAATTCAAATGGCCAAATATATCAATAAATGTACAGGTTTAAATAAATTGCCTTAAACTAAACAATTTAATATTGCTGGATGGTTCAACGAAGTGTTATAAGAAAGTTGGTTTTGGTTGCTTGGCATGCTTTTCTTGATTGTTCTGACTCAGTAACAGTGAAGTAGTGGAACATTATATAAGCTCAGCCATGTTAGTTACATAGTCTTTTTGATTACTGTTAGAATTATTTTGAATTGTGTATTTGAAACATAAGGGCTCCGTAAAAACAAGATTAACCCTACCTTGCCTCTT